GGAAAATATAGCCCTACTTGGTTGTGGCATATTAAGCACAATATCCCATTTCTCCTAGGCAGCCCTTCACTCCTGCCTGTGTCTCAGCTACTGCTGCTGAAGCCATTCCTACCGTATCACTTCCTGCATGCGGGGGTATTTGCATGAGGCATGTTCCTGAGACCACACTGTGTGATACGTTTGTGCCCTGGATTAGTTTAATGGAACTGCAATACAACCTGCAAACAGCTTCCCAGCTGGTAAATTGTGTTTAAACAGTGGAAAACAAATACGCTTTCTTAATGCTACATCTGGTTGCTTAGTGTTGCTCCTATCTCCAGTCCGTTTTGCAGTGCCTCAGCAAAATTGCCAAACAAGCTGGCCAAAAATCAATTGAACAGAGATCAGAAGGAAAAAACAAATGAGATATAACAGTCACTGATGGGATACACAGGCATATCAATTTGGCAGCTAGTCAAACTGTTGGAGGCAATCAGCCGTGCTCATTAAATGTCAGAGTTGTGAATTTGCCCGGGGCATTATCAGCAAGGGCTTGAAAGTAGCCCAGCTCAGTTGAAAGAGATTTTCTCCCCTGAATTTTAGGTAAATGGATGAATGAGATGTCAATAGCAATTCCATACCCCAATTTTAGCTCCAGAACCTGATTTTAGTTCCAAAAAGCTGGGCTGTAAATGGGAGAGGGGGCATGTTTGATGTAGAAGATTCAAGAAGCAGCAGATTCCCTGCGTACACTCAAACTTAGAAAGAAACATGCTGCTGTTACTGGGATTGGTTTTCCTTAGAATCACAGCAACTTATGTGTTGCATGACAATTGCCAGGAGTTGACATAAGATTGGAGGCAACTAGAGCGAGGAGGAGAAAACTTAATTCTTCTAGAGATCAGCAAGGAATGAGCAGTAGCTCTCTTCCCTGACACTGCATGAGCAGAGCACAGCCAGCTGCTGGCACAGGGCAGGGTCCGCACCTCCCACCTGCTACCTTTCTCTTCTCTGCACTTCAGGTGGTCACTGCTTTAGCTTCAAAAAGCATAAAGTAGAAGACTCAATGGCTTGCTCATTTATGTAGGCTTTGGGAAAATACTGGGGAAAGAGTTTATATTGTGTAGATATGAGGAAAGACATGCTTTTGGTTTGTTTGTTTGTTTTTTGCACCTGACAGAAGTCTCAGTAATGATAGGTTTTAAGCCAATTATTATTCACATATCTCTGTGCAAATCTGAGAGGTTTCCCACAGGCAAACCAGTTACCCAGTATGGGCTAAGTTGTGAAATACACACTTGGCTAAGAGCTTTGCCTCACTAACGACCTTGGAATATGACCTTTAATTTTGGACGCGTGTCTGTATAAATAAGCCATCACAATTAGTCTGCACTGTGCTTGTCACAAAGACCATTCACACAGAAAGGACCTGAAGGTAAGCATTAGGCAGATGTGATTCTTGTGGCAACCAAGCTCAGTGATTTCTCTATGGACACAAGACTTCCTTACCCTAGCACAGAAGTGGAAAACGGAGCTCAGTTTGTAAGGGGAAGAGGCTGAGAAGAAACCTCTGGGCAGAGATCTCTGTGCCACTGGGAGCAAGAGCTGCCTAGCTGTGTGGCCAGGGCCCTGAGCACTGTTCAGATCCCTACACACAGAAGAATCTATGCCTGGGACTTTTGTGTACTTGGTCATTACAAAAACATTCAATAGACAGATGGCCCCCTGCTTAAGATGGAGTCCGGTATTACTGTTGCACTGGATGGGAGTCACTATCAGTCTGACTAATGCTGCCCGCTTCTATATCACATTTCCAAACACACAAATAAATCAGTGCCCTTTGCTCCCAACAGAAATGCTTGTGGGTTTGAATTGAGATTGGGAGGGTTGCTGACCTGCCAAGCCAAGTGCTGCTGAGATAGTAGAGTGGGAGGTTGCTGAGGAGTGAGAAGCTGACATCAGACACTGGCACTGGATCCAAAGGGGGATGGTATCCATCCTTCTGCTGCTCCAACACAGCAATGCTTCAGGAGGATGTGGCATTTATTTAGTGCATGCTGATTAGCACTGACAACACTGACAACGTATATGAGATCATTATCTCAGATATCATTTACCAGGAAAGCGGGTATCGGTTCCTCGCCTCCAGTATACCAGTTCACAGGAAAGAGTTAAAGTTGTATATCTGCAGTCACAAAATGGGCAGCAATCTGCAGCCTGTTGTCAGGTCAGCAGTTTGCCTGATAAAGGAGCCCTGACCTCACCTGTAGTGGAAAGTCCAAAGTTATCTTCAGGAGATTTCAGGATTGTTGACCAAAAAGCAAAAGTGCAGAAATCTGCATAGGGCAGTAGCCTAGAAATACGGGCCAAAATAAATGTTGTGATGTGGTGGAGGCCTCTAACTACCAATAAGACAGCACTTTGCCATGCCCCTCCAGTGTCTGAAACCCCATCCAAAGGATGTCTCCTTGAGTGGCACGATCTGAGTCTTGTTGAATCCAAGGTTCGGTGCCGCAGATGCAATGCTTCCTCCAATCCCTCTGATGCTGGAGATAACGTCTTGCCCATTATATTTACCGAAGCCTGGATTTCCTCTATGGGGGAAGTCCTCCTGTAAAAAAGCACAGAGAATGCTTTAAAGAAGGAGCAGAATGTGCTCAGATTGTGAAGCAGCTGATCTGAAGGCACTGCAGATCCTTAGGGAGGCCTGGGCCACAATGGTTGACATTTGAGACAGGAAATGATGGTTTATTTAACTAACTGAACTGAAAACTGCCAGGGAATTTAAACAAGGGAAACAGAATAACTCATGGCAGCCTTAGCTAAGTAAGTCATGCAGGCTAAAACTTCTGTGGTCATGGGAAATACTGAGAGATATGTGACATCTGTTAGCGGCAGTGGCCTCTGCTTTGTGATTCATCTGAGAGGTGGATCAGGTGGGCAAAGAGGCTGTTCCTGCCTGCTCAGCACAGCTCTGCCTTTAAGTTTCTGGGATATAATGGCACAATTCTGGCACAATCTTGTTTTGCTCATATATGCGTGTGGTGTTTTTCAAATGCTTTGAACAGTTTTACTAGTTAAAAAAAAAAAAAAAACCAACCAAGGTTTCTGTTCAAATAATGGCTTTCTTCACTGTTCTTAGCCATGTGCAGGAAACTCTAGGATTTTCCACTTTTTGTGGCAGTAAATGATATCTAAGAGTTTGACTTTGCTAGAGGCTAAAGGATCTGGCTATAGAAATCAAGCTGAGGGGAGAAGCCCTCTCAAAGTGAGACAACCTTAGTAACAGCAAAGGAAATTGAGATAATGGCACAGCTGAAAAGCATTCATGATTCATCAATTGGTAACCAAGGAAAAAAGAAGGAAAAAAAAACAGGAAAAAAAAAAAAAAGGAAGGATTAAAAAAAGAAAGAAAAAGCAACTGTGAGCATTTTGGGGGTTTCACAAAGCAAATCTGACTTTGCCAGAACCCAGGTCTCAGGGCAGAGCTCCTGCAGTGAGTAGCTCAGTGCATGATCTCCCCTTTGCCCACCAGGCATGTTCCTGTGGCCCAGTTTTTTTCTCCTGTGCATCCATGCCCCGCTTCCCTCCAGCCCTGCTGAGGGCCAGACAGTCAGGACTTCAGGCCTGGAATTCATTGTCCCAGCTGCACTTGAGCCCATTTAAAGGGAAAATGGCAGATAGCTGTCCTTCTGCAGAGCAGTGACCTTAACCTTCTTCTCCAGCCCACTGAGAGGGCAGAGTTGAGTGAACAGCCTGGCTGCTCTGCTGAAAGCTATGGCCTCAGGGGAACTAACATACTGCTGTTGTTGTTGGGTTTGCTGTCAGCTGAATGGTCCCCAGCCGGATTCATTGCGCAACTGTACAAACACCGGTGCCAGCACAAATAAGGGACGATGAAACAGCCAGTGCTGCTGGCCAGGTTTCTTCTCTCTGCGCTGCCAGCTTGGCTAGCTGAAGCCATCCACAAATGTGGGACACCTACTCCAATTTGGTGAATGTAAAACCCTGAGATTATTATTTGAATCCTCCCGCCGTTCTGCACAGATCCCAGTATTGGCTCACTTGTGCTTCACTTTGCTTGCATGCTTTTGAATGTGCTGCATGCTTTTGAAATTTGTCCCTGGGTGCATTCAAGGCCAGGCTGGATGTGGCTCTGGGCAGCCTGGTCTGGTGGTTGGCGACCCTGCCCGTAGCAGGGGGTTGAAACTAGATGAGCATTGTGGTCCTTTTCAACCCAGGCCATTCTATGATTCTATGATTCTAAATATTCACGTGGCACTATCAGGAGGAGAGTGCTTCAGAAGGGAATGAGTCTATAACACCGTATCATCTGCTGCTGAGTGCCACCGAAGCACCTCAACCTTGAATGATCGATCGGCTGATTTTGTGTTATTTATGTTGCCCTAAAGGCTGCGTTTTGAAACTTGAGGTGTATGGATTAGAAAAGCTGACAACTCATTCTGCTCAAGCTGTTTAATAACTCCTCACAGATCCTGTTTCAAAAGCTTGTTTTCAAGGGAGGGAATACATCCAACTTGCAGAGACCAACTTCCTTCTCAGTTTAGATGAATAAAGTCTTGCAAATATTTAGAAACTGATTTAAGCTAACAAAGTCAAGGAAATCAGTATTAAAACTCAAACTCCTGCTTGATGGTCTATTTGTAGTTCATCCAGTGGTAATGAGCCAGATTCTTGCCTAGAATAAATAGGCATAAATCCACTTAAGCCATGCAAGAATGTTGATTTATGCTTCCTACAAATCTGACCTTTATTTCAGTATTTCATGGTAAGCTCCAATCCTCTTTGCACTGCTCATTTATTGGGATGGAATTAGATTTACCAAGGTATGCTCAGACAAAATGGATTGCTTTTCTCTCCGATTTTTTATTTTTTATTTTTTTTGTGCCAGGGATAAAATGGTGGGTTATCTAGATAAAAAATTGTTGAGAGGATATTTTTGTTGGAGAAAGCAGTGACAGCATCGTTCATTGCAGCGCCGCACTTTATTTATTTCTCAAAGTTGCACTAAATGAATACAATGAGCTCTACAAATTACAGAGCCCTTCCAGGAAATCTGAGATGAACGTGAAGAACTGAGGTTGAAATATGTTCAGCTAATAAACAGTTGCATAAAACCTTAAATATGTGCAGCCAAGGGATTTGCTGAAGGTGTTCTGGAACGAAAATATGTTTCTGTTTGCTTAACTGAAACTACGTTGCTTTAGATGACCTCACGTTCTTCATTTCTAAGCCCACCAACCCTGCATCGAGGCTCAACATACTGCAAGATGCCAGACTCACCAGAGGAAGACAGTCAATAATGTATTACATTAGTTTTAAATACAATACTCTTGATTTTTGACAATTATAGCTGCATAGTAAATACTGCCTGTCACCACTCACAGCCACGCTGAGAAAACTGCGTGTGTGATTAGGGGACTGTAAAGAGCTCAGTGTGGGGGCTGCAGTCAGAAGACAGAGCTCATGGCAGAGGCAGCAAGCTGTTTGCTACATTCTGTGTCACACAGGTAACACCTTACTCTGCTGTTTTCAGCCTGCACTACGTTTTGATTCATTACCTGATGATGTCTGAAGTGTTAGTTGGCAGCTAACTGCTTACAGCCTGGCCACCAGATAAAGACTTCTCTAATGCGACTGTACAGCCTAGGAATTTCGCAGATAAACATGAAGGTTGATATGGACAAAGTATGAATGGCAATGTACAGGTGCAAAATCATCAAGAAAAACAAGAAGGGATAAAGGAAAGGCATGAGCAGATGGGCCAAAATCAGGTCACCAAGATTGCAGCGTACACTGTGCAGCTTCTCAAGGACCTGGCTCTGGAAAACCTCAGGCTGCCTGCTGGTGAGCCTCCAGGTGAAGGCAGCTTGGCTCCAACTCTCTCTCCTAGTGGACCTTGAACCTACTCTGTAGCTTTGTCTTCGGCCCTATAGCAGTAGCCAAAGGTAGACCTCAGAACTGTTTTGCAGCCCTGTCTCAGCCTTTCCTCTGGCCTCATCTCCTGCTGCTCTTGGATGGACCCTGAAGCCCATTAGTTGACCTGCATAGTTTGGACCCTGGACCTGATTAATTTGCCTTGATGGGACTCTTGGTGGATTCTATTATCATTATCTAGGTGTGAAGGACTGCGCCCAGCTGGTGAAGGCACAGCAGCTCCTGGCTTGTACCAGTGCAAGTCATGCACATATGTGGCAGAGCACATCTCCAGCTTCACACACATTAAAAGAAAGGTTGGATCAGTCTGTATGAGAAAGTGTGTGAAACTCTACCTAGGCTGTTTTGCATCATCCTTGGATACACTGGCTAAACATTAGCAGTGGAAATACTGAACGTAGTACTCCGATTTGATGGAGAGGTGAAGGTATGCTGTGTTCTTGATTCTGCACCTTGTTCTGTAATTATATACAAAAGAGATTGGGTTTGTTAATATTGGAGTATGTGGGGACTTGGTAATCTGGACATGAGTTTCTTTAAGAGAAAAGAGGCTAAGATGTAACAAGAAGCAGTTTATTTTTTAGGTTGCTTTCATTTGGCAGCTTATTGTATTTTTATTTTCACATATAAGATATTACAGATCTGTAAAATCAGCCAAGATCCCGGCTTTCAGGAATGCCATGGTCCTGGTGTAGACCTTCCAGTCAGGCTCTCAGCACTGTTTGGGAAAGAAATCCAAATATTTCAGTTGCAAAGAAGATGCTTTGGCTCCAAAGCAATATGAGAAAATGTACAATCTATTTGATCTGCTTCAGATGCCACAACCACCTGCAACTGCATGTGGCAAACACATATTTCTCAGATTCACGGGCATGTATGATTGCAAAGAGTGCTGAATACTCGCAGTAGAACAGATAAACCTTCAGTATGCTCTTTTTGTTCTCTCTCAGCAGCTCTCTGTGGGAAGATCCCCACCTTGGAGACTCTGGAGGGTTCGAAATCCCCAGTGAAGCGATGCAGAGCCTTTCAAGGCAAGACACTGTATACAAAAGTTCCTGTCAAGCAGCCAGCACGAACAACAACGGCTGGCACGAGGAAAGGTTCACAGATGCTTGTTCGAACGTGCAATTGTGCAACATCGCCGCCTATTGCAGGCTCCGGCTGCTGCTATAATAAAGGCACCAGCGCCATCTGCCTTCTCAAACCCAACTCAACCAAGGAGGAAAGGTCCTCATGGAGGCTAGATGGGTCAGCGCCTTAATTTCTAAACTTCACCTTTCTAATATCCATCGTTGTTCTTAATTCTTATACCTTACGTGTTTCTTTGCTCCCTTTAGTAGAAAGAACAAACTGGTGAGCAGTGACATGGGCTGGTGGGTACTCTATATATATGCATGTAACACGCATTAGATCACATACAGAGGAATTCGTGTTCTCTGAATTCCCTTGCATTCCTTGTAAGGTAGCTGTGCCCTCCCATGTCCAGCTGAGCCATTAAACAATGAACTGCTCCAGTTAAACCTCTTTCCACTAACACCTTTGAGTACCTAAAGGATTGCAAATATATGAGTGAGATTACATTGTCTGGAATAAATCTTGTCAAATGAGTTCCTTTCCCATTGACTAGGTGGCAGTGTTTATAGCAGAAAAGCAGGTGCAGATATCTTGTTTGTAGGAGGACTTGCAGCACTGTCACATGGGACTGGTGGTCTCGCAAGCAAATTGTAGAAAGTCTGGAATGGGAGAGTGCATGGTTGGGTGAACACGTTGTTAACTTGGCCAGACACATCGAGCAGAATTCCACAGGAGTATTCCCATAGCACCAATGGGATATTTTCATTGGATAATTTGGGTAGTGTAAAAGAAAAATTGCTTAGCAAACCCACTGCTGGGAGGAGCAGCAAGTGCAGTAGGATACTGCTGTAGGACTTGGCAAAGTATGGTCAGGGGGAAGAAGTAATTCAAAAGACATGCTTTCACTCTTTGCTCTTGGCAGAACTACCAACATCCCAGATGCAGGTTGTGGAATTACTGGTCTGGTGGCATCACAATGTAAACACGCTTGGTGGTTAGCGTGGGTCACAAAGCAGACAGGAGTCAGCCACGTCACGCCATAACAAAAACAACAAACAGCACCAGGGGGTATATAAAAAGGAAGAGCGTTTGACAGGCAGATGAAGTCATTCTCCTGTTATGTTTGGGGCTGGTAAACATCCCATTGGTGTACTGTACTCTGCTTTGGCTAGAATAGAGAATTAGAGGTCTTGTGGGGAAACATTGGTGGAATAGGAGTGGTTTGTCCTAAGGGAGGGAGAGATGTGGCAGGGCATCCCTAACATCTGCTGAAAAGGCTCGGTGGGCATCAGAGATCTGGGTTACAGGCTAGAAACAGCTTTCTCATGGTGCGGTTATGGAAACAGAGGGAAAGATTACTATGGGGTATGACAGCCCTGTTTTGTTAGTTTTCAAGTGCAGATTGGACACGTTTATGTCAGAAATTACCTCAACGTGATTGATCCCGCTTTTTGGGAAGGAAGGAGACACTTCCCAAACCGATTTTGCTGATATTCCTATTTAGAGCCAAAGACACCTAAGTTAGAAGTCTGAATTACACACTGTGGATACCAGCTAATTATCATCCTGAGACTCTTGCTTTCCATTTCTGTTTAATATATCATTAGGAAAACATCTTAGAAGTCAATAATTTAAATCCAAAGTAGCTATAATGTAGGCTGGCACAATGCAGTTTAAACTCTATTCATTCAAACCTGTGTTTTCCAAGTTCCGGGCTTCTTTTGAGCATATACTGCCAGCTCTGCTGACATCTAAATGGTTTATGATCTAGGGACCCATCTGCTGGACATTAGGATGATCCAGTTTATCTAATAAAGGCTTTACTAGTATACCCACACAACTTAGTGCAGAAAGGATGATGGATGAAAAGAGGAAAGGATAACTTACACATATATTACTCATCCTGAAAATGCTAAAACTTGGGCTTGGAATAGTCTTTGATGTTTGACCTCTGCAGATAGACTGCAATTAAGTCTCTTAATCCTCTAAACACTTGAAGTTAATAGGATTAACCGTATGCCCAAAGTGTGTGTGGCTGGTGTGCAAAACTGCTATAGAGTGCAGCTGGTGAAAAAACTTGTGACAAAGACATTTTCCAGTGGAATCCTGTCTGATGCATACTAAGTATTTTCTAACGACTTCTAATCCTAAGTAATTTCCTAACGTGAAGATGTCTAATAAAAATAAAACTTAGCAAAGTTCTTGTTTGAAAAAGCGTTGTACACTGAAAGAGCAGATGGGTGAACTATTTCTGAGGCAGAAATTACAGGGCTTGGGAGATTTGAGAGGGGTTATTGTGGTTTTCTGGAATATGTAGATTTAAACTCGCTGACTTTCACCATTCGTTCAAACCAAGCTTGAGATTAAGCTTGCATGGAGTCAGATCGCACAGTCACAAAAATAAGAAGCATTATCTATCTTCATTTCTCTTTTAGCAGCAACACCGGTTTGGCTTAAAAGCACCAGAATTGATCCTTCTCCTGCCCCTGACAGACTCACTGTTCTTGGACACCCTGGCAAACCTGCAGTCTCCGTCAGATCATCACAGCGCGAGCATACAAAGAGCTTACAAAGAACAAAGATGGTTTGGGCAATGATTTAAGGTATTGCAAGGACACAGCTGTAGGCAGACACAGCACCGAGGTTCCCATTTGTTGCACATCTGTCACAAAAAGAAAGCAGAGCACATTGAGGCGCTGTGCTGATGTGTCATGCTAGGCTTGAGGTTTGGTGCCCTTTACTCCCTGGGTGCCCCTGGGGCTCCTCACACAGCTCAGCATTGGTTTCCACCCTACGAAATGCCAGCTGCGGGCACGAAGAGCGACAGCGCTGCTCCCAATGGTAACCACGCAGACGTCAATCTCTGCTGCAGGATGTAATTGCAATCTACAGGAAAAGGTAATAACTGTGGTGAAAGGTTTCCAACAACCGCGATGCCATCCCCTGCCCCGCTCTGAGATCTGTTTGAGACACGGGGAGAGATTTCCGCCACTCGTCCTCATGGTTACAGTCAGCAGAAAGCAGGCTGCACGGAGCCAGGTGCTCCTGCCAACCCCAACACAGCCCAAAGGAAGCAAATAAAAAGGCCCGAGAGTAACAGTCATCACTGCCTAAACTGATGTTGCTATACAGGAATCTGAGTCACAGCGAGAGGCTGCTCAAGAAGGGAGCAGAGGAGACAAGAAATTCCAGCCAGGGCAGGGGAGCTCTGACTGAAGAAGCTCAGCAGCAGCGATGAGATGGCAGATAAGAGTACAGAACAGTGGCATCGTATCCTTCTTGAGATCATCACAGAAAAACAGAGCGAGGAAAATGGGAGAAAAACTGGTGAAGCACCGCCTGTAAGAGAGGACTGATTAGAAGGTCTTAAAGGAAAGGATGCTTGAAAGGAAGATTTAAAGAGAACAGCAAATAGGGCGGACACCAGGAGATGTCACCCACGGCTGAGTCAGAAGAGGCATTGCAGAGCCTTTCTCAGGTCAAAAACACAAGGGGAGGAGGGAAAGATGAAGCTCTTATGGGGTAAGGGGTTAAATCGGGACTGTGGCGAAAAGAACAGCGTGGGTGAGGTGCGGCTCTGTGAATGCCGCGCAGAGCCATCGCATGCACACATCACAGCAAGGACCGCAGCCCCTGCGGGCGCCCGTAGCTCAGGAAGCGGTGCGGGAGCGATCAGCCCGCCAGCACCGAGCCTCGGGGCTCCTCGGGGCTCCTCGGGGCTCCTCGGGGCTCCTCGGG